GTGGTGTGGCTCCGTGATTTTTCTCCTTTTTCGGATTTTTTCACGTTAAATCCTAGTGTTTTGTTGCATGGTTTTGCATTCCCCCCTTCCCTCACATTTTTAGATATTCCTGTTGATCTTCATATGTGTCATGGTCAAATGCAGCAAATGTGAAGACAACTGACAACTGTTGGCGAGCATGACGTTGTCAAAACCACTCAAACTTCGCCCGATTGTGGAATAGACTGCATTAATACACTCGGAATGCCAAATTTGCCAAAAAGGCACCACTTGCACGGAAATCGAATGATTCAAGAGACAAAAGTAATGGTTGGTGTGATGTTGTGCGAAACTATCCAAAAAACTTCCTATCATAACACAGACAACGTTGTTATATCCAGGACATCAAATTTATCGAAGGGATGACCTCTTATACATGAATTGACCGACAATTGTCAAAATCGACAAACTACGAAAGAAACATTGCGCGACATTGCCCAAATGAAGTTCGTTCGCTAAACAGATTTCGCAGTGCGTCCGGAATGTCGTAAATACTTTGAAATGATAGTAATATTGATAGTGTAAGACCCAATTTATATTGATAGTGTAAGACCCAATTTATACAGGTATGAAAATTAGTGTTTATTTAATGTAGATTTAATGTAATATTAATTGCTTGTTAAAATCTTATATACAGTTAAGTTGATGTTTAATAGATGGATAAGTATTAATAATTATACAACTAATAGATTTAAGTTAAATCATATAAATATTTATATATTAAAAGAATGCTTTCAAAGGGTGTGAGTGAAGGCAGTTATGTGGTGGGCCCTCATTTCCGTTATCCTTAACGTAGGCAACAAGGCAAAATTTGGGCTGTCTGGATAAGGAAGCAGTTAACGCAAGCCACAGTGGAAAAATAGGGAAAATTGAAGATATCAGCAGTGCAGAAATCTCTGTTCATCTATTCGGAGTCATACAGACAGAGGTAGAAAGCCATGTTCCTGGAGTCGGCACAGTAACCAGAAACCTGTAGCTTTGTTTGGTGCTGTTTGGTACAGTTTGCAGAAGTTATAGAAGAAGGAATTCAGCGCATTCAAGGAGGAGAAATCAACACAGTATAGTAAGTAGCAGCCATGGGAAATCTGAGAACGTTTGGCTTTGTGTGTAAGAACAATTTCGGTAAAGAAATTTAGTGATTGTGAAAGAAAGCCGCAAAATATGCATATGGTGTGGGGATTTCGGCTTTGATAGGAAACAAAGAAAAGTGAAGGAAGATTGGGAGGGAAATTGTAGTGAATCGAGGTAAGAATTTTCGGTATATCTGTAGTTGTCTTTTATATTTCTAATAAGTGATAAAAGTTCTAAGTTTATACAATTGTAAGGTTAGAATTCTTTAGATGCATTCATGCAAAGAGAAAGTTTTGGGGTGACCTACAATCGTAGAAGAGTCTGTAGTAAAGAATTGGAGGAAACGACTCGTCAAGGATGTAAGCTATGTAAATTTATTATAATTACAACGATTGTAAATTTTTGAGAAATTACTAAATTCTTGGGATTGTAGTGAGAAGCGAATTTCATTATGAAATTTTTATTAGTCTTTATTTGAATACATGAAAGTATTAATAAATTTCTATTCATAGAAATATATGAGATGGTGTGATATTTGATTCACAACTATGTATGATTACATCTAGGGGTGTCAATTATTAACCCGACCCGACAACCTGACCCGAACCCGACCAAAAAAATCCGGGTTTGGGTCGACCCGTTTAACAAACGGGTCGGGTTCGGGTTTCAATTTTCAACCCATTTAAAAAACAGGTCAGGTCCGGGTCAACCCGGTAACCCGAAACTAACCCGAGCTGACCCGTATACGCCTCTATCCATTTTCATTTTTCCCTCGTGGTCACGTTGCAATGTGGGATCACCTGGCCAGCCGTCCGCCCGTCCACGTCAACATGACCGGCTCCGGCTATCCGCGTCAGGCCTACGACGTCAATCCCGACATCCCGCACGCCTACGCCCGTGTGAGCCGGGAGTTCGCCTGTTCGTGCGTGTGAGCCAGGAGTTCGCCTGTTCGCGCGGACCGAGTGGTCGATCCTGTTCGCGCGGGTAAGCCCAAGTCCGATGTTGTGCGCACCTCCGAGTCTCCGCCTCAGCTGAAGCCTGAAGGAATGCAAATGTTCGGGTTCGCGGGTCGGGTCGGGTCAACCCGGTAACCCGCGCGGGTCGGGTTCGGGTTCGGGTTAAAATATCTGACCTGTTTAACTAAATGGGTCGGGTTTGGGTTAACCCGTTTACAGTCGGGTCAATTCGGGTCAGACCCGAACCCGACCCGTTGACCCGAATTGACACCCCTAATTACATCAGTTTGGTTTTCTTGATAATGGTTGAAAAGTAATGTATATCAACTCATCTTAAGTCATATTTATGAGCACAAACATGTTGGTCAGTCCATGAACCTTTAATGAATTATGAATTATGAATATGTAAAAATTACTTAATATTTATTTAGTAAAGATTGACTATTCTATGTTATGATATATATATTATCAGGTGGGCAAAAGAGACCCAATATGAAACCTGTAATGTGGATGGGGCAAAAGGACCCCAAGGAAAGTTATACCTACATAACAGGTAGGGCAAAAGGGACCCCTAAAGAGGCAAAATGGATCTCTATGAAATTTAATGACGATAATGTCATGTTTACCTGGGCTCCATTAAATATTTTTATGAAAAGATAGCCTAATCTTTTAAAAGACTAAATATTCAGTATCTAACTCGAATCCGACCCGGATTTACAATCGGTCATAATTTGACACTGGACCCGATTCATTTTCCAAATGAGTTCACCTTTACACGAAATTTTTGTTCGGGTTCTCGGGTCGTGTCAAATATTAACACCTCTAATGACTTACAAATTGAGATGCATGATAAACAAGGGAATTGGACAAGGGATTCATTCATACTTCTTTTTCCTATCATATTTTTAATTTAAATTAAAGTTATTATAAAAATACAACTATATATTATATTTAGAACATTCAAAAATTTATAATCATATCTATTCCCATACTTTGCTTTTATTTTTTTTGAATCCACTATAAAACCGGCACCAAATCAGCCCATATCCCGTCACCAGACTAGCATGCAAAAGAAAATAAAACCTAAACTAAATCCTCACCCCACTTCCTATCCACTAAAACCCAACACTCCAGCTTCCTACTGTTCAGCCTCATCTCCTTAAGCCGCACACATCCTTCTCCCATCCAGAGCCCATTACCCACCTCCAACTCTCCCAATCGAGCCTTCACAGGTGCTCCTTCTCTGCTCGATTTGACTCCTGCGCTTCCCTCTGCTGACAATAGACCCCAAAAGCCTCTCCACTCGCATGCACTCCACTCCCCATAGCTCCCAATCACAGCTAATAGCAAAAGCCCCCTTTCTGTTATTATTATTATTTTATTAGTACAAAAAAAAGAAAAAAAATACTATTTTGATCCCTCACCAATCTCGCCAAAACCCTTGTCGCGATCTTATCATCGTCGCCCCGGTTGCTAAGGTATAATGCTTGCAAACTCATAAAACTCCAAAATTTTGTTGGCGTTGCTAGCGCCACGAGCAAACTTTCTATGCGCACTTTTCTTTGCATGGTGAGAGGAAGCTCGTACGCGATGCCTGGGACGAAGAAAGTAAGCCCTATACATGCTTTTCTCAGCATAGCGGGATGAAATTCAATGTCATTTGCATTGTTCCAACGTGGCAGGAAAATTTGTAGCTTCCATGTAGGTACTCCGATGACCCATGCCCGCCTTTCTTTGCGTGGTGGGATTGTAGAACATGGCCACAATGTCACTTTAGACCGACCATGCAAGCCATTCTTGAAGTTACGGGGTGTCGAAAATTGACTTAACCCGTCAACTCGACTAAAAAATTATTGGTTCAGGTTGGACCGTTTAATAAATTGGTTTGGTTCGGCTCAACTCGCCAACCTGGAATTAACCCAATTTTGTCTCGATTGGGCAGATTTAAGGGATTTGTTTTAAGAAGCGCGTGAAATGGGAGAAAGGACCATCGTCACATCAAACGAGCTCCCGTCGTCGTTGATTGAAGGAGGCGAAGTTCACAGTGGTGGATTTGCATGATTTGGCCAAAGAAGCTCGCGAAATCAAAATGGAACATGACTTGACTTCCATCGGAGTTTCAGATCGAATTTACGAGATTTTGCCATAGAAGTGTGCAAAATTTGGAGAAAGAATGTTGGCCATTAAAAGAGAAGTATAATATTAAGTTAAGTGTTGTAGATATGTGGATGCTTAAGTGGATGACTGGCTTTTCTCTTAGAGACAAGTTGCGAAATTAGCATATACGTGAAAATGTTAGAGTAGCTCCAGTGGAAGATAAGTTTAGAGAGAGTCGCCTTAGATGGTTTGGTCACATAAAACGATGGCCTTCTAATGATTCCTTTAAGAAAGTAAATATATTAGATTTGACTTATGTTAAGAAAGGTAGAGGTATATCTAAAAAGACTTGGTTAGAAAATATTAGAAATGATCTTTCTTTTTTAGATTTAATTGAGAATTTGACTCTTAACAGGACACAATGGAGCAAAAGGATTCATATAGCCGACCCCACCTAGTGGGATAAATGCATGATGTTGTTGTTTTTCTCTTCCCTTCCTCCTGTTCTCATGAGCAAGAAAAGATTAGCTGCTCTTTAACGGGCTTATATGTTTTTAACTTTTTATTGAGCTGTAAGAATGAAAAAAGGAAGTTTGTTTGAGATTTATAGTTTCTATTAACAGGCATATTACTGATTCCATGAATAAAACAATGCCCATCATTTTGTTTACCCTCGCTTGAAATATATTTTTTTTCTGGTTCTCTTTATGTTTAGATTACATCCATTTTGAACATTAAGTGCTTATCATTTTCTTTCTTAAAACATCCAATCTTCAGCTGTTTTTTTCTTTTTCACTTGTGTTTGGTTAGACACCTGCTCATTATCGCTATTTTCAGTTTGTAGAAGGGGAACCTGTTTTGGAGGCATGCTGTAGAACAAATGTTGGTGGATATCATGTTACGGACTATTTGAAGCAGCTTCTTTCGTTAAATTACCCCTATCATATGTATATATCTTCCTGATCCCCATTCATTTATTCTTCTTTCAAAGTTGTTGTAAATATTAACAGTTAAATTTTGTTTTAAAAGCTCAAGCATAACATGGGAGAAGGCTGAGGAGCTGAAGCTGGAGCACTGCTATGTTGCTTATGATTATGCTGCAGAATTGCAATTATTTCAGGTTTTTTCAACTTTTTTATTTCTTAATCATTAAGGTCCATATTGTCCATTTTTTTTTGGTATACTGTAGAGAATTGCTATTTGTACACCTTTGTGTTCCAATTGCAGTTCAGTAATTTCTTTGCTTTGTTATTACCTTCCATAAATGTTCAATGGTCTATTTGTACCACACCATGAAAGTTGGGAAAGTTTTTTTCAAATGGGGTTTTCATATGGTTATACATTTGTCACAAGGCCACAGCAAATATGATCAATTTTAACTAATGCCAAATTGTGTCATGGTGGTGAAATTTACCACAGTTGTTGACCACAAATTTTGGGCATCGCATCACTTAATAGTGAGATATACACATTATATGAAGGAATGAAAAAAATGATGGGTATTCAAAGCCTTTTGTTTCTAAAAATGTTTCAAGAGTTTTTAACAAAAAATATAGAATGCTTATGTTGAAGTATTGTGGGACCCACCCACAATTCAATCAATTTTCATTGGGATCCTTAAGCACACAGATTAAGGATTCTAACTATTTGATCAATCCTCTTATGACCTTTAGATTTTGCAATCCGTTTGTCTCTTCTTAGTATTTTAGTCGTTGGTCCCTCTTGGGAAATTTTTTCTTTTTTGTAAAGAACTTTGATTTATTTTCATTGTAAGTATTTTAGAGAAGTATATAAATTCTTCCACACTTTGTGCATAATTAAGTAATAAAATTCAAAGTTTTTTTTTTCTTTTCTATTTTTCTACATGGTATCAAAGTAAAGTTAAGGTTTCTATTTTCCAATCTTTGTTCTTTTTTTTTTCTTTCCCCCTTCTTGTCAAGTTTCTTCCTTCACTTTATTATGACTAATTTCTTTGACTTTACTTTCGAAGAGTCGACTATCATGAATGGCAAAAATCATGCTAAAGAATAACTCTATAAGCTACAAGGCTCATATTGCCTGAAGGAGAGAAGTTATCTAAGCTGATCCTAAATTTTGAAGACCTTTCTAAGAAGAAAGGGAAAGATCTATCTTATAAATCCTCTTTTGGAGCCAAAAGACTCAAATTTTATTTTTTGAGATGAAGAAAATTCTATGATCATGACATGGTTCTGGAATACCGTGATACTTGAAATCAGTTGGTCATATATGTTTCTTTCTACCGCAATAGAACTTTGACGCATTATTAAACAAACGTGCTCAAAATTGAAAGATACTTCCCTCATCAACGAGATCAAAGTTAAGATTTCGACAACAAAGCAGGGTAACATTCATGTTATTGAGTACTTTAATGCAATGATGGTTTATTGGATTGAATTGGATTATTACCAAGATTTCATGTTGATATGTTGAGATGGTGTGGTAATTCTAAGCAATTTAAAGAAATTTGTGGAAAGAGAGAATGTGTGAGTTTATTGCAAAACTCAATATTGACTTTGACCAAACTCGTATCCAAATCCTAAGCAAAGAAAATCTATCATCATTAAATGAAAGGTTTTTTTTTTTCTTTCATAGGAATCGTGGAAGAAAGAATGGTAATGCTCAACGCTCTAGCTTCTTAAACATTTTTCATGACAACCACTAAATCTCAAGATATGAGATTTATTTTTATAAACTCTTACCTTAAAAAAGGGTAAAAGCCATCTTCCAAAGGTAATTTATGATCTAACTATTACAAGAAGAAATGATATATTAAAAAATGTAGGTAATTTCATGGAAAACTCTCAGGTTATGGTGTCTTGTTGAAGTAGGACTCAATTTAGAAATAGATGAACTTGGGAACTTCCTCAACATGCTTGAAAAATCAAAATAATATGACTTTTAACTCATATTTTTTCAGTTTCTAAATAATTTCTCACATCGATTCTAGATCAAAGAGCCACGAATCACATGACCAATCTTGACAATGTTTTTTAAACATATAAATATTGGCCCAACAATAAAAAATTAAAAAGTCTGATGGTTCTCTAATAATTGTTGTAGGTCAAGTAGATTTTTTAATTTCCTCCACGTTTGTCCTCATTAATGTGTTGCATGTTACTCATTTTACCGTAAATCTTCTATCAATTCATAAATGACTGAAGACCAAAATTGTAAAACAACTTTTTGGTTAATTATTATATATTCTAGGACTTCACTATTAATAAGACATTTGTTTGACAAGTTATAAAGAAGGATGTGTTATATTTTTTTTTTAAGATGAAAATCACTTATGTTGTTCCTTCATTTTCACCCTTAATATAGAAGTTAGTTGGAAACATCATTATAGGCTAGGGTATTGCTCTTTCAAAATCCTAAAGTGTATATTTTCTTCCCTTTTGTTTTAATGTAAATGTGAAAATATTTTGTTGTGAAACTTGTGAAAAAATTTATGTTGAAATAACATTTTTTATTAGATTTAAATGAGAATTTGACTCTTAACATAACACAATGGAGAAAAGAATTCATGTAGCCCGACCCCACATAGTGGAATAAAAGCTTGTTGTTGTTGTACTTATGATTTGCCAAACATTACCATGTCTTTTTTTTAAAGTAGTTTTAAATCCTCGACTATTTTTTTTTTTAATTATTCACTCATTTAGGGATTTTTCAAAATCTTAAGATTTTTGAAATATAAGATTTGTCACCTTCATTGATAATTGTGTTCGGATGACATTAGTATATCTTATCAAATAGAAATTTGATGTTAGCATTATTCTCCCCAATTTTATTGTCAAGATACAAAAATAATTTAATTCTAATTTTAAGCTATGTCAGTTTAATAATACTCATGATTATTTTAGTCACTCATTATTATTTTTCTCCAAAAAGAATGTTTCATCCCCAATAAAAGAGTGGTAGGAAAAAAATCACCCTTTCTTAGAAGTCATCATGACAATTCTCTTCCATAATCAAGTGCCAAAAAGATATCGGAGAAAATATGTCACAATTGTCTCATACATAATCAATACAATATTCTCAAGAGTGATTTGCTTCAAAGTTATATAAATTATTTGATTGAATTCTTCTAAATAAATAACTTCCTCTCAAAAATTTCTTAAAAATCTTTTGGTGCCTTTCATATGTCGAGATTCACAAACAACACAGGAGTAAACTTAATCTTAGTGCTCTCAAATGTATCTTTTTTTGGGTATTCATTGACTTAAAAGAGTATATGTTCTCACTCTACCACCCAAAAACAAAATTACTTTTGAAAGCTGTCGCATTTGATGAGATGCAAAGTTTTTCAGTCAAACCCACATTCATGGAGAGAACTCCCAACTAAAAGATAAACTTGATAAAATCTCTCTTTTTCATTTTGACATTCCTATAGTACAAATTCTATTAAATTCAAACATTGTACCCCTTCAAGTTTGTACAAAATAGTATAAGCTCAGCCACAATCTTTAACAAGCTCTAAACTCAGGATTATTTTCAGGTAACAATGATCAATCCATCACTACACATTCTTCTTTGTATCCTATCTCTCATTACACGTCTTTTCAAAATTATATTATTCTCATAAAGTCTTTTTTACAAATATCAGCTCTAATTTTATTACATCATCACAAATATTATTTGAGACATTTGAAAATAAGAATTGAAAGGATATCATGATATAAGAGATAAATGCTCTGAAAAAATCATATTTAGGAGATTGTTGAACTATCAAAAAGGAAGAAAATTGTATGATTTAAATGATTTTGTTTGTAAAATATAAAGTAGATAGAAGCTTAGAATGATATAAATTGAGATTGGTAGCCAAAAGATATACTCAATCCTATGAAATTGACTATCAATAAGAATAATATTTTTCTTATTTTCGCTTGCAGGCAATCATGGATAGTCTATGTAGTTTGATGTAAATAATGCTTTCTTATATGGGAATGTTGAAAAAGTCTATATAGATCCATCATCGGAATTTGATAGTTTTCTCACAAAGAATAAAGTGTGCAAATTAAAAAAAAACTCTCTATAACCTTAAACAATCTCCGAGAGCATGCTTTGGTAGATTTACCAAAGTAATGAATAAAGAGTAAAAGTCCAAAATAGTCCCCCGATTATTAGTATTTGCTCAATTTAATCTCAGACTTTCATAATGCCTCAATTTAGTCCCCCGACTATTAGAAAATGTCTCAATTTGTTCTCAAGGCTAAAAGTAATAGCTAAAGTTAACCTCAATAGTTAAATGAGAGGAGATTTTGGATATTAAAGGTGTATGTGAGATTATATTATTATTTATATATATTTCTTCATTTGTCATATTAAAATAAATAAAAAAATCATAATATAAGTTAATCACAATTATTAATTATTAACTTTTGTTATTTAGTTGGTTAACTTCTATTATGATTTTGGTATTTATTTTAATATGATAAATATAAAAATATAAAAAATTATATAATTTCATATGCACCATAATACCAAAAAAGAATGTTGGGGTTAATTTTTGACTGTTACTTTTGGCCATGGACCAAATTGTTACATTTTCAATTAATTAGAGGACTAAATTGGATCATCATAAAAGTTTGGGACTGAATTGTACATTTATTAATGGTTGGGGGACTATTGTAGTCATTTACTCGATGAATGAAGCTAGATAAACATATAGTTGAGGATATCATATACTCTTCATAAATCACATAACTGGTGGTAAAATCTCAATACTTATTATATATATATATATATATAATATATATATATATATATATATATATATAGAGAGAGAGAGAGAGAGAGAGAGGAAATCTCATAATATGGAGGAGCAAGAAGTAATCTGTTATTTCAAGATCTAATGTTAAAATTAATTTAGAGCCATTGCCCAATGAATCTTAGCTATGAATCAAAATTATTTTAGAAAACTTTGAAATCAAATGGGAATGGTTAGTGAAGATATACTATGACAATAAGTCTTTTATTAGCATTATACATTATTCATGACAATATGACTGTACCAAATATGTGGAGTGGATATATATTTTATGAAAAGGAAATTAGAAAGTGGATTGATTTGCACTCCATATGTACTAATTGGAAATAAACTTGTTAATATTCTCACCAAAAGGCTCTATATCCCACATTCAAACAAAAACATTTTGTAAGCAAACTTTGGATGTTAGACTTATACCATTCAATTTGAAGGAGAGAGTTGGAAGATCATGAGACCCACAAGTCTACTTTGTTAGGGATCGTTGAGCACACGGATTAAGGGTTCTAACTGTTAGATCGATTCTCTTCTGACTCTTATTGTAATTGGTGTGCATCCTCTTCCTACTCTAGCTACTGATCTCTGTTGGGGACTTTTTTCCTTTTTTTTTTTTTTGACTTTTTTTTTTTTTTTTTTTTGTAAATTGTTTTGATTTAGAGATATCTATAAATATTTCTACACTTCAAGCAATAAAGTTCAAAATAGTTTTTTTATTGCTTTTCTACAATTTATGTAGCTAGAATCTTGGTATGTGAGGTTGAACGGATGATTTTGACTTATGTGGTTCTCTGTATGTGGTTGTGATTTACATATTTTCTATAAAGAATTTGAAATGGGCTTAAGATTACTTCAGTTATTGCTCCAAAATTGCTGCTTTAGCTGCAGAAAAAAAACTTAACAAAAGATAATGGCTTCTGAAGCTTGAAACTGTGATTTGATGTCGAGGGAATTTTTGATATTTGGTTGGCTAGAAAACATTGAGCTATCCATTAATATTTTCTTTTTGTTTCCTAGAGGCCTTTGACTTGTTGGATATTGATCTTCTAGCCAAGGCGGGTTAGTGCCTAGGGTACTATAAATGTGATTTACAAACTTATGTGATTCATATATGTTTCTCTTTCTTGGTTGGAATTTTCTACTTAAAAATTTAACATAATTCACTTTATTCATGGATCTTCATCAATCATTGTCATAATTATCAGTAACTTTATCACAACTATTGATGTTGGCTTTATGATTTCTTATTCTCCATTCATTGCCTTTAAGTGCCGAGGAAACTTCAACGTGAATTAGTTTATTTTTCTGTTGTGAACAAAGTATAGGTATCATGCAGTTCATTTATCGTACAGCCTAATTAATTTCTCCCTAACTAGCACCTCAACTCACGAGTTAACCTATTGTTTATTTTCTTTGAAGTCGAGCTTTGGTTTGCTCTTTTTCTTATAGCACCGGTGGGATAAGCTGCCATCTTTTTTGTGACTTGCTTCAGGATTGGATATGATGTTAAAGCTCTGTGGAATCTTTTTAACTGGATTAATTTCTTAATTTTAATGCTTATTGTGCTGCTCAACCTTATGCCACCAGCCTATATAGTGATGTTCATGTGTTTGCATTTTATTAATGAAATGTTTAAACTATCACATTAAATAATAACATGGTGCACTTGTTATGTTAGAAATTGTTTAAGGGGCAACTCCTTTAATCTCTAAGATCTGCATCTATATGCTATTCTTTTGTTCCCCGTTGATGACATTATTACTCTCACTGCAGAAAGGGACCAAAGAAGCTGAAGAGAAAACCAGGTGCTGGCAGCTTCCTTGGATTCCTCCTTCCCAAGAGGATGCACCATCGGAAGAAGAACTTGCAAGAAAGGCAGCTTTGAAAGAAAAACAAGGTCAACGATTGCGAGATATAGCTGCTGCAAAGAAGTTTACTAGAATATCAGAACTTGAACATAAGTTGCATGGCCTGGAAGATTTAGTGCAGCAGCTGGATGAGGTGGAGGATGAAGAGATGTATTCTATTCTATCTGTCACTGATTACAATTCCAAACAAGAGATTGAATCTGCTGTACATAGAGTAACACAATCCCTTCGGAAAGCTAGGGGCGAGCCGTGTGAGAGTGAGGAGAAGGTAGATGCTTCATTGTCTGAGAAATATCCTCTTATCAGTATTCCTGACGACATGTTAACTCCTGAGCAGGTATAAGGGAGTCTAGACCCATTCATTTTTCTTATTTTCCTACTAAAATCATATTTGTTTGAAATTTCTTCTGCGTTTTGTTTATAACCATTTCTGAATGCGGGATACCTATTGTACTTTGCTAAAGATTTTGTGTATTTGTATTTTTTGAAGTTAAGATGTTATATGCCATGTTATCTCGTACTTTTTTGTGTGACCGTGTTTTCTTGTCTTTTTTATGTTTGCAGCTCAAAGAAAAGAAAAAGCAGATATTTCTGAAGACAACATCGGAGGGCAGACTGCGAGCCAAGCAGAAAAAATTTAAAGAAGAATTGCTGCGTGAGAAACAAAATCAAGAAGATGAAGAAAAACGCCTGTAAGATGAGATCCTCTTCCAATAATGCTTATTTCTGAAAACTTACAGATGTAATGAACAAAAATATCCTTCCATAGAATGTTTTTTTTTTATGAGAATTGAAACCATATGTAATGAATAGTTCGAGTCTGTTTTTGTGGACTGAAATCCCCATCTTCTGCACATTTATCTATTTGATTAATCAGCTTCTACTCTTCATTTAGTACTTTTATTATGGGGGTTAGCTTTTCGTTCTGCATGATTCTTTTTATTGATGTTAACATGCTTTTCATGCGGATGCCATAGCTTCCATGTAATTGGCGGAAATGACATTTTCATGTTTAATTCCAATATCTGATCTTTATGTTTCAGAGAGAATCCAGAGCTTTATCTTGAACAGACACGGGTCAAATATAGAGAGCTTTGTGAGAGAGTTGACCAACGGAAACGTCTAAAGACAAATGGAAATGGTAATTCATCTGGTGGTGTTGGCCGTGGTGAGCGCTTGAATTCTGTGCAGAAGGAGCGAATGCGACTCTTGACAACTGCAGCATTTGATCGAGGAAAGGGTGAGGACACTTTTGGAGCTAGAGATGAAGACTGGCAGCTTTACAAACTGATGAGCAGAGATAACGATGATGATGATGATAGTCTTGATGAGGATGAGACGGAACTATCTCGTGTAACAACTAGGCTCCAGGTTAGTTTTGTGCAAAAACTGATATTATTCATGTTTTGTGGTCTAACTGCTGGTTAGTGGTCATGCTATTATCTTATAATACTGAAGTTGTATGGGTCCTAGTATATTTGAATTTCATACAGCTTCTTGTCATTTGAGAAATGTCCTATTTTAGTTCATTTAAGCAGCTGGATGCAGTCAATTCAAGTTAAATGGTAATTGTCTAGCATTGATGAGAACTGCTCTCTTTAGGTTTAGGAGAATTTTCCACGACTATCAAAAAGGCTTCCAGATATTTTACTTGAAGAGTATCTCTGGTTGCATTTCTTTCTCTGCGTCTCTTGGAAACTATCCTGATCTTGTTTGTTTTTTTTCTTTGTTATATCCCATCAAAACTAGAAGGGAAAAACTGTACATTTTTGTGAGAAAGCTTGCCCTGGCCTACTTTTTATTTTAATGTTCTTCTTGTTTTGTTCCAATTTCTTGACAGGTGAATTTGCTAAACTGATTTTGTTGAAATTGACCATTAGTTCTAGTCTTCTAGGAATCTACAACCTCTTCTCTTTATCTAGGGATTAGATTTTACCTTAGTTTTATAGGTTTAATTTCTCGACTTCCTAAATACGAAAAAATGGGAATAGCTGACCGACTATGTTTTGTAGATTAGAGCTGTGGGCACAAAGATAACATTGACACACTTGTGTGGCAGAAATTCAAAAAATAAGATAAATGTGATAAAATTATGTAGGATGGAGTGCAAAATGGTTCTATTCAAGAGGCTGTGGGAATAGCATCAATTGAAAATAGTTTCTGTTCTATCTACCACTGTTTACTATTCTAGGCACGAGATTGAATTTAATTTGTTGTAATCATATGTACAACTTGGATCTATAGAAAAAACTCAACTGACCGCACAAAGTATTTCATTCATCAATGTCAATAATTGATTAAAAGAGTATTCATTATTAGTTCATTTGCAATCATGCAATGCCATCCTTAAATCAGTTTTCTTTTATTTTTTCATTCTATTCACTCATCTCTGAAATTATACTGATTAAATCAAGACTTCATTTTCTCCCATCAATCTTATCATTGCTCTGTCAACATTTTGTCACAGCCCAACTTGACCTCATATAATCTCGCATTTTATCAAATCGCACCAAAATCAAGTCGGACATAGAAGATTGTTAATCATTCAATCCATAATTCTAGCAATAATCCACAAAATATGCTAGCGACTAACTTATCCCAAGGAAATATGTTAGACCGGTTCACAATGAACCAGTCCAGCTCCAGCTGGCCCAAAGGGGGCCGGCTCACGTGGTTTATAGGATGCGGAAGCCTCCGCCTCCTCTGCCTTGTCTGCTTAATGGGGCGGGCCCCATTATTTCAAATAAATGAAAAATTCAAACGGAGTGGGCGGCTAGAGTTTGGGAGAGAAATTAAATTAGGAAAGATCTTGTATTAAAGTTGATGAAAGGGATTAGGGGAGATTATGTATTGGTTTTAGGGTTTCTTGGTGTTTTGGCTCTAGACTCTCTTGTCTAGAGATTTGGGAGAGGCGATCCTCCTCTCGAATCGAGGATCATCTGTATCTTTGCTTTATGTTCGTTTGCTTTGTTTCCCTTATTGCAACCAATTGTTGGGGGCTGTTTTCGCCCAGATTTTGTTTCAGTCTCGCTGTTTTTCTCCAATTAGTGATAGGTTTGCTTGTGAACTCGAGTATTTCCCTTAGGGTTTCTTACGAACTCTATGTAGTTCCTATCAAAATCTCAGCAGAACAAGGTCCAACTAATTTCTCATCATAAAATTTTACATGTCATATGCCATCTGTACACCTTAAGATACACAATAATGTACTCAATTACATGACTCGGTTGTACTTCAATCAATAACCATCTCTCTTTTCAGGTAGTCATTCAATTCATCTCTCCTCAGCCCCAATCATTAAGTTTCCTTTGACATTTCTAAATGAATGAATATAAAATTAGTAGTAAGACAAAATCTAAGAGATTATTTGGAAATCTTTTTTTGTTTTTTATTTTTATTTTATTTTGTTTATATTTTAGCATAAAATTAAATATATTTGATATCTTGAAAGCATTAATTTTTTCTGTTGAATATCAAAACTAGTTGATTTAAACATTGGTGGTGATGATCATCGGCATGGCAACAGTGGTCCGCCAACAAACAGTGACCGCAACGGGTGAGTTAATGATGGCGACGGCCAGCAATGTAGTTGTCCTTAAAAGTACTCTAAATGCCTCAAAATTGTTTTTACGACTTTAAAAACAACGGGTTATATTTTTAATAATAAAAGATGAAAATAGTTAAAAATACATTAAATAAATATGTTTTCTAAAAACAGAAATAAAAAATAAAAAATAAAAGTGATCCCATACAAGCTCTAATGAAAAGAATTCAATATTCATGAATCATGACCATAGCATCAAAGGATGAGCCGAAACGAAATATTGACATTTTAGCGATGTTATTTTCCCAATTAGCAGTCTGCTACAATGTTTCAGTTCTACATGGATAGTTTTTTGAAAAAAAATTGAGCTTCATTACTCCTTTCATTGAAATGCAAACTTTCAGATCTGCGTGGTTTATCTGATATGTCTATCTTTCTATTATGTGCAGGAGATTGACCCAGAATTTGTTGCAAAATCTGACTTGGCGGCACTCCAAGGAACCCTTGAGTTTACTCGGCTCCGGCCGCTAACTGCTGAGGATTTCAAGATTAACCTCGGCATTGAACGTTTTCGTTGTCCTGAAATACTGTTTCAACCCAGTATGGTCGGAGTTGATCAAGCTGGTCTTGATGAGATGACTGGTGTTTCTCTCAGGAGGCTCTCCTCAAAGGATGATGCGGTCAAGAACAGAATGTGCAATTCCATTATCGTCCTTGGCGGCAGCTCACTCTTCCCAGGTCTGGACTCTCGATTGGAAGCAGGGATTCGGCAAATCCGGCCGTATCTTTCCCCTCTTAAAGTGGTAAGGTCGTTGAATCCAGTTTTAGATGCCTGGAGAGGTGCAGCTGCTTATGCTACTTCCATGCAATTCTCTACTCAGACATTCAGCATTCAAGATTATTATGAGAAAGGTGAATCTGGCCTAAAGCAATACCAGATCAAGTATAGCTTATGATTGATATTTGAATACTGTTTCTTGGTTGGTACAACCATTTTACTTTGCTTTTTTGTTGGTATTATTTATTTCAGAAAACAAAATAGATTGTAGCTGTATTACACTGCTATTTTAGTTTAATTTTCACATGAATTGATTCTGCTTTGCTTTCAGTTTAACCTTCCAGACACGATAAGCTAAACTCTAGGTTTAATCTTACCCTACTGTGCTCTTCGGAAATTTGACTTTGTGTAATATGTAATATAAGATAGATGCAACATTTGAAAATCTTATATATTTCATCTTGCTATGTATTAGAATTATATCGAAATAATCTAATTTGTTTGGATTACATGTATTTATGAGTGCACAGTGATTATTTTAAATGTGATGGCATCTTTTTTTATGGCTATGTTCCTTAAAATTATATATAAGCATGAGTGATGTATCCTTCTTTTATATCTTTACCAGAAAACTTAGCATTTATATCAATCTTTACCTCAGACTTCATAAACTATATTTGTTATTTTTTACATCAATAAATTTGTCAACTGTATGATTTGAAACTAAATTAAAGCATTTATATCTGATAAGCTATCAAAATCAGCATGCAGACATCTCAGCTCTCTTCTCCACTGCTTCACCCAGTCTGGCAAATTGGTACTGTTGGCAGCTTTCTTAGACTTCATCTCCACCATTGATTATCACTCTCCTGATGTATCACCGTTGGAAACCACTTATGGCTGCAACTTGTACTTCAACCTTAATTTTATTGATTCATTTGCAATCATGCCATGCCATCCTTAAATCAGTTCTCTTTTTTTTTTTTCATTCTATTCACTCATCTCTATAATTATACTGATTAAACCAAGGCTTCATTTTCTCCCATCAATCTTATCATTGCTCTGTAGAAGATAAGATTAGAGAGAGTCGCCTTAGATGGTTTGGTCACATAAAAAGGCGGCCTTCTGATGACCCGGTTAGGAGAGTAGAGGTATTAGATTTGACTTGTGTTAAGAAAGGTAGGGGTAGACCTAAAAAGACTTGGTTAGAAAATATTAGGAATGACCTTTCTTTATTAGATTTAAACGAGAATTTGACTTTTAATAGGACACAATGGAGAAAAAGGATTCATGTAGCCGACCCCACGTAGTGGGATAAAGGCTTGATGTTGTTGTTACTGTTGTAATCTTATCATTGCTCTGTCAACATTTTGTCACAGCCCAACCTGACCTCGTATAATCTCGCATTTTATTTATTCACACCAAAATCTGGTCGGACAAAGAAGAGTGTTAATCATTCAATCCATAATTCTAACAATCATCCACAAAATACGCTAGCGACTAACTTATCCCAAGGAAATCTCAGCAGAACAAGGTCCAACTAATTTGTCATCATAAAATTTTACATGTCATATGCCATCTGTACACCTTAAGATACACAATAATGTACTCAATTACATGACTCGATTGCACTTCAATCAATAACCATCTCTCTTTTCAGGTAATCATTCAATTTATATCTCCTCAGCCCCAATCATTAAGTTTACTTTGACATTTCTGAATAAATGAACATAAAATTAGTAGTAAGACAAAATCTAAGAGATTATTTGGAAATCTTTTTTGTTTTTTATTTTTATTTTATTTTGCTTATATTTTAGCATAAAATTTAATATATTTGATATCTTAAAAACATATCTTTTTTGTGTTGAATTTTAAAATTAGTTGATTTAAACATTGGTGGTGATGGTCATCGTCACGGCAACAAGTCGTGACCGCAACCGGTGAGTTGATGATGGTGACGGACAGCAATGTAGTTATTCTTAAGAGTACTCTAAATACCTCAAAATTGTTTTTATGACTTTAAAAACAACGCGTTATATTTTTAATAATAAAAAATAAAAATAGTTAAAAATACATCAAATAAATATGTTTTCTAAAAACAGAAATAAAAAATAAAAAATAAAAGTGATCCCATACATGCTCTAATGAAAAGAATTCAATATTCGTGAATCATGACCATTGCATCAAAGGATGAGCTGAAACGAAATATTGACATTTTAGCGATGTTATTTTCCTAATTAGTAGTTTGCTACAATGTTTCAGTTCTACATGGATAATTTTTTGAAAAAATTTTGCGCTTCACTACTCCTTTACCTATTCATTGAACTGCAAACTATCAGATCTGCCTGGTTTATCTGATATGTCTATCTTTCTACTATGTGCAGGAGATTGACCCCGAATTTGTTGCAAAATCTGACTTGGCGGCGCTCCAAGGAACCCTTGAGTTTACTCGGCTCCGGCCGCTAACTGCTGAGGATTTCAAGATTAACCTCGGCATTGAGCGTTTTCGTTGTCCTGAAATACTGTTTCAACCCAGTATGGTCGGAGTTGATCAAGCTGGTCTTGATGAGATGACTGGTGTTTCTCTCAGGAGGCTCTCCTCAAAGGATGATGCGGTCAAGAACAGAATGTGCAATTCCATTGTCGTCCTTGGCGGCAGCTCTCTCTTCCCAGGTCTGGACTCTCGATTGGAAGCAGGGATTCGGCAAATCCGGCCGTATCTTTCCCCTCTTAAAGTGGTAAGGTCGTTGAATCCAGTTTTAGATGCCTGGAGAGGTGCAGCTGCTTATGCTACTTCCATGCAATTCTCTACTCAGACATTCAGCATTCAAGATTATTATGAGAAAGGTGAATCTGGCCTAAAGCAATACCAGATCAAGTATAGCTTATGATTGATATTTGAATACTGTTTCTTGGTTGGTACAACCATTTTACTTTGTTTTTTTGTTGGTATTATTTATTTCAGAAAACAAAATAGATTGTAGCTGTATTACACTGCTATTTTAGTTTAATTTTCACATGAATTGATTCTGCTTTGCTTTCAGTTTAACCTTCCAGACACGATAAGCTAAACTCTAGGTTTAATCTTACCCTACTGTGCTCTTCGGAAATTTGACTTTGTGTAATATGTAATATAAGATAGATGCAACATTTGAAAATCTTATATATTTCAGCTTGCTCTGTATTAGAATTTTATCGAAATAATCTAATTTGTTTGGATTACATGTATTTATGAGTGTACAGTGATTATTTTAAATGTGATGGCATCTTTTTTTATGGCTATGTTCCTTAAAATTATATATAAGCATGAGTGATGTATCCTTCTTTTATTTCTTTACCAGAAAACTTAGCATTTATATCAATCTTTACCTCAGACTTCATTAACTATATTTGTTATTTTTTACATCAATAAATTTGTCAACTATATGATTTGAAACTAAATTAAAGCACTTATATCTGATAAGCTATCAAAATCAGCATGCAGACATCTCAGCTCTCTTCTCCACTGCTTCACCCAGTCTGGCAAATTGGTACTGTTGGCAGCTTTCTTAGACTTCATCTCCACCATTGATTATCACTCTCCTGATGTATCACCGTTGGAAACCACTTATGGCTGCAACTTGTACTTCAACCTTAATTTAACTAATATATATAAATTTCTAATCTAATGAAAATGTAACTTGGCTCATTTCTTTATCTCTATTTTATGTTCCTTCCAATGCTCCCTATGTTAATTTAATTCTTTCATGGTATTAGAGCCGATCAGCTTCATTGCTCTTCTTTACATGTTCCCACCTGATGGGTGAATCCTCCAGTACTTCCTTCACCATGTGTATCGTAACCCAACTATCCCCTCCCAGTATGATGGAAACTTCCATTCCTCCTTCGCTCAAGTTTCTCATATGAAACCTCAAACACATAGCTCACATCCAACTAACCAGCAACAACTACTCCATGTGGAGGCTTCAAATCTTCAAAATGTTCACTGCTTAAAGCTTCTAAAGTATTCTCTCTAATGAGAACATTTGCCCATCAAAACAAACTCTCTTTTACAAACGAAGTCATATCTAACCCTCCCAACTCATCAATCAAAACTTCTCTACAGCTCTCCTCAACTATCTCACCTCAAATCCTACCTTATATTCTCAACCTCAACATCTCTCATGTTATCTAGATAACCTTGGAAAAATACCTACAACCCATAAATCGATCCTGAGTTATCCATCTCAAAATGAACTCCTCAATGTATCCATGAAAGAACTCTACATGACACAATACCTCTTAAACATTAAACACCTTGTTGATCAAATCTCTGCAGCAGGATCTCACATTGAAGAACAAGATGTCATACTATACACTCTCAATGGACTATCACATACATATCAATCCTTCAAAACTGTCATTCACACTCAACTTACTCCCATCAACCTTGATGATCTCTACTCCCTCTTATGCAGTGGAGAATTAATCTAAGCACTGAATCTCTCTAACTAAAAAAATCCTTATACTCAACCATTGGCTCTATCAATCATCCACAACATATTTTTCTAAACTAGGCGTGGGAAAGCCACCCCAATCATATATCAGTCAATCAATACCAAATCAACTCCAAACTATCACCCCTCCACCTGCTCATTCAATCAACCCACATGAGGAGGCATACCGTTTAACATATCTCACCCCACATGCCTAATATGTGGAAAGCTCGGCCACATTGCTCTTAACTGTTGGCATCAAAGCAACAATACAGTCCTCCTTCCTCAGCCCAAACTATAGCTTCTTTTTCACAATAACAAATACCAACAGGTGACTGCTACCTTGACTCGGGCGCCTATGCTCATCTTACAACAGATTTTCAAAACCTCCAAAATCCATCTCCATACACCGAACATGGCAACACAATTGTTGCCAATGCCTCTGCCTTTCCGATCACCAATATCTTTAGCGGGATTCTTCCAACTCCTTCACACTGCAAGCTCCTTCTTCACAGCCTACTTCATGTTCCTTCCATATCTCACAACTTACTTTCCATACATAAACTCACCTTTGATAATAACTTTTTCATCTTGTTTGATACCACCCATTTTATTATCAAGGACCTCAAAACTCATTAAACTCTTCATCATGGACATTACAGTAATGGACTGTATCCAATCTCTCCATGAACATCCAGCACTCCACCCACTGCTATGGCTACTCAAATCAGCAACATCCAACTATGTCACGCTCGTTTTGGTCATCCTCGTCATCTTGTCACATACAAGCTTGCCATGTAATGTCACTAAAAAAATATTTTGTACCACTTTCAATATAGCAAAAAGTCACAAACTATCCTTTAATTTATAAATTTCTAGCACTTCAAAACCTTTAAAATTAATTCATAGTGATGTATGGGGACCTTCCTCAATATCTTCTCTTAATGGATTTTGTTACTACATTATGTTTATCGACAACTTTTTTAAATATTCCTCATTATTTCCTAACCACCATAAATTTGAAATACTCAACAAATTCAAATTAATTCAACACTTGTTTTAAAGCTCTATGATTTGACAATGACGGCAAATACATAAATAAACAATTCCACAACTTTCTCACCTTCGAAGGAATACCACAACAACATAGCTACCTATATACCCCAAAATAAAATGGAGTATTCGAACATAAACATCAATAGCTACTTGAAACTACAAGAAGTCTCCTCCATGAAGCTCACCTTCCTCCATCCTTATGGGTCGAAGCTATCTTAACTGCCACCTTTCTTATCAACCACATGGCTTCCCAAAATACTAGTTTCAAATCTCCTTACAATATTCTTCACAAAAAGTCACCTCTATACAGTCACTTAAAAAACTTTGGATACATCTACTTTCCATGGTTACAATGTCTATCCACCACCAAATTATCTCCTCGCTCCACTCCATGCATCTTTTTAGGCTACTCGAATACTCATCTTGGCTAAAGATGTTACAATCCAATCAACGAAAAGATAATCATCTCCCGTCATGTAATCTTCAACGAGCGAATATTTTTCTTCCAAACTACAAACTTCATACATGCTACAACTGCACGCCTAGAACTTGCCCCACGGATCTCCCCATCACTTCTTGTTCCACATTCTTCAATTAACACATCTCACCAACATAAAATTCCACATCCACCTAGCAACACTTCCCCAACTCCAGCAACACCTAATCTTCTCTTCAACCCTCCAAATCACCCAACACCACAAATATGTCCATTCCTCCCAACACTTCCATTCATCCCATGCAAGAAAAACTTCAAATAGGCAACCTCAAACCCAAAAGAATATTCTCTCTGGTTGCTCATACACCTAAGCAATTCACTCCAACATCCTACTCTCAGGCCTCTCGCCTACCTGAATGGTGACAAGCCATGTCCACTGAATTCATGGCTCTCCATCAAGAAGAAACCTAGATGTTAGTTTTGTCTCCCTCCAATCAGCAAATCTTAGGTTTTCGTTGGGCATACAAAACAAAAAATTAAACCAAATGGTACAATTTACTTTTATAAGGCTAGTATTATGGCTCAAGGATTCAAACAGACACATGGAATATACTACGCTGAGACATTCAGCCCCGTTGCCAAGATGATAACCATCCGACTTATCCTCATGGTAGATCTTCACCACAAGTGGTTCATACATAAACTTGATATATCAAATATATTCCTCCAAAGTACTCTACATGAATCAGTCTACACGACAAAACCCTAAGGATTTCTCGATCCTCTCTATCCCTCTCATGTTTGCAAACTTCACGAGGCCATCTACGTTCTAAAACAAGCATTACGTCAATGGTTTCTAGCCTTTTCTACATTCCTCATCACTCATGGTTTACTAGCCAGTCAATATGATCAATCTCTCTTTATCTAATCCACTATCACCACCAAAATCTTCCTTCTATTGTATATAGATGATATACTCATCACAAAAAAATAATACAAACAAAATTTACCACCTCATAACAGACATTCAAAAATAATTCTAGCTAAAAGACCTCGGTCCATCTTCCCACTTCTTCGGCAATCACATAATCTCCACCCATAAAACGTACCTCCTTCACCAGTCTAAATATACCCAATACCTCCTTCACAAATCTGAAATTACAAATCAACATCTTCCCCCACCTATTCTAAGTCTCCATCCTCCTCAGATGGCGACCAACCCTTCTCCCAACTAATTCTTTATCGCCAACTTGTCGGCTCCCTCCAATTTCTAACGATCACACATCTTGGTATCTCCTTCGTGGTAAATCAGCTATGCCAATTCATGCATAACCCGGTCCCCTAAACAAGCATTTTAAGCAACTAAAAATACTACTAAAGTATATAAAAGGCAGGATCAACATGGCTCTCCTCATCCAAAGCGACGACCTCATACTCCACTCTTACTCAAATTTTGATTGGGCGTCCGATCCAACCTATCACAAATCTATCTTGAGATACTGCCACTTCTGTAGCAACACTCTTCTCTCCTAGACAATCAAGAAGCAATCTACCGTAGGCAAATCCTCTACATAAGTAGAATATAAGGCTCTAGCCTCCGTAGCTTCAGACATTGCATGACTTCATCTCCTACTGACATATTTTCATATTCCCCTCTCCACAGCCACCGCTATCCACTATGACAACATTTTTTCCTTGGTTCTGCCAAATAATCCCATCTTTATGCCCGCACAAAATATATTGAGATAGACTATCATTTTATCAGGGATCGCTTCTACTCCAACAAAATTGAGGTTTATCATATAAACTCTAGCGACAAACCTGCTGATATCCTGACCAAATCACTGCCTCCCTCCAAATTTCAGTTTCTAAGAAACAAATTAACTCTCCAATTCTTGGATAATTAATTTGTGGGGTGGTGATAAGCTATCACAATCAGCATGCAGACATCTCAACTCTATTCTCCATTATTCACCCTGTCTAGCAAACCGGCATTGCTAGAAGCTTTCTCAAACTTATCTCCACTGTTGATTATCATGTACTCTCCTAATGCATCATTGTTGTACTTCAACCTTATCTCTATATATATGCTACTATGTATTGCTTTATTTCTAATCTAATGAAAATGCAACTTGGCTCATTTCTCTATCTCGGGTTATATGTGCTACTCTACGCTTCTTCTAGTACTTCAGCCTTAAGAATTTTCTCTCTAAAAAAACTATCTACATTAGCACCCGATTCTCCAATAAAAACGTTCAGCATTTTAAATTATCAAATACACAAAGATCACTCAATCACATTGAAATATTGTGAAAGTCATCAACTCTCAAATTTTATTTTGCGTGATATAAGCTGATATTTAGACTTATGCCAACCACAAATAAATTGATAAAGTACTAATTCTTTTTTTTTTCTTTTTTAATAAATTGTTTTGTTTTAAAATAATACATAAAAAATAATTTTGAGATGTTTAAGTATTTTAAATATTTTTTTTTCCTAAATTTTAATACGACATTTTAGGGATCCATTTGGTACAACTCTCTCAATGCTTTGCTTTCAAAACCACAAGAAGTTCTGGTTGAGCATTGCTTTATTGGTATTTAAAAAAAAAAATTGTGATGGATAGATGTTTTTTACAACTATAATTGCTATATCATATGTAATAGATTTAAAAAGGCTATTGTTCAATATTTTAAAAAGAAAAAAATCAATTATATTCACAACTACTTTTAAAAAAATTATTTTCTTCACAACAACTTTATCATCACTGTTAAGATCATTTAGGGTTTAGGGGCGAACATGACGAGTTTGATAGTAGTCAGTCATCTTGAGAGCTGTGGCGACATAGTGATGAAATGCTCAGCTGTAGGCATACTACATAATTAAGATATTTATCTCATATATTTTTACAAATGATGAAATAAAGTTTTTTTTTTCCAATAAAATTCATTTGTAAATTACTGCCACCCTCCCTTTAATACAACTCATGAGTGAAAAAAAAAAAAGGAAGAAGAAGATGGGATCTAAGATGAAGAATTAGTTACCATAAGGCAGGAAGGAAAGGACACTTGCAATTCAAATATTCAACTACTTCACGTGAATCTCAGAGCACTTGGTGACAAAATTGAAAATTCCAAGTCGGCCCGGCCCAATTACCTTCTCGAGCCCGTAGGCCCCGTCCATCGGCGTTGACTTTGCAAGCCACTCTTCTATATCTTCTAACGCCTATCTTCTCTTGGCGTAACGTGGCATGCGTACCATGGCGCTGACCCATCTAATCTCTGAAGGTCAACGTCCAGTTTAATTCACTTTTGTTTGCTTCTTAAATAAAAAAATAAAAATCTGATGCCCATAAGTCAACGCCTACGTAGTAAATCAAATATGCATGCTTTTTACCAAATTAACAAACTGCCCTTCAAACTTATAATAAGAAAATAAAAAAATATAAATAATGGTATGGTTCCCGAATTATTTTATATATAAGACTATCCTCTTCACAAGTGTAGTGCGGTGGTTGCCTTGACCAATATATTGGAACAGATATATCAAAAGATTTTCGCTCATTTGATTCAAAATCAACGGCTGTAATTTGGTGGAGGAGATTCACATCAGAGCTTATATGCATTAGCTAGCGTGATTTTTTGCTATGTTTTGACTTTTAAGTTGTTGAAAAGCTCAACAAACCCAATAAGGTAATGAGATTTTAAGCTATTATTATTGATTTATGGGATGAGGGCAGTTTTGTCATGTAAAAAAAAATTACTGAATCTTTCATTCTCTTTTAAAGGGCTGAGGATTAGAAGCTTGAAGGCAATACATGCAGGTTAGCCAAAGAAAGCATCTTTATTTTCCTTAGTCGTTCTTCTCTACACATTAAAAGGAGATGATGAATGAATTAGAAGAGCTGAATAGGGTTGAGAGGAGCATAGGAGATCAGACAGGGGATGAATTTACCATGCAAGAACTTCTCTACAGTTCCGATTTGCCCTTATTGCCGCCATGGAAATTTACCGAGCGAGAGCCACTTTCACCTAGCAAGCTCATATCCAAGATGCTTCATGGCAGCCCAATGAAAGCCCGCATGTCGATGAGTTGCAGCAATGGAGAGTTCGATGGTCTCAGCAATTACAGACCAGCGTATATATATATGTTGCCATTTCAGTGAATAATCTTCTAAATCTTTATTTGTGTTGATTTCATTGCTCAAACTTGGTTTCTACTGCAGGATTGCACTGCCTGAGAAGGGGCTGACTGCTAAGATGGAGAACAAGTATACTCTCAGAATTAAGACATATGGGATTAATGGAGTTGCAGATGATGGCTACAAGTGGAGGAAATATGGTCAGAAATCTATCAAAAATAGCCCAAATCCAAGGTACTTATTTAAAAAGAAAAATTTTTGTAACACCCATAGTACTTATCAAAAAATCAATTTTCTGGCCTTACGACAAGCAGTTTTACATAGCTTTTACGTAAAATTGCATGTAGTTTACTCAGAGAACAAATAATAGCTTACTCAGAGGAATGACAGTATCTTTATTTCTTTTAGAGAATTTAATAGCATTTATGGTTAAGAGAAACGCATTATTAGTTCATTAGCTGTAGGCTGAAAAAGCAGTTAGAAAACATCAGAAGCTATTACTCTTAGTGCTGGGATGAGCAACAGAATTACTTGCTATAAAAGCTAGCTAACATTCACCCACAGAAAATCTTCTTTTTAAATATATAGAAGAACAATTTAAGAGAAAGTATAGGTAAAAAAAATAAAATGTGTAAATTTTGATTATTTTTTCTTTTACTAAAATAGTATATGTTTTACAATGTGTAAATTTAATTTAGGTAAAAAGTTGAGCAACATAGTACTATTTCTCTTGTATAAATATAATTAAAACCTTGCTTTAAAGTTGTGCAAGCAATAATATAACACAAAAAACATATTTTCAAATTTACTAATATACAACTCAATTCTTAATAATTATTATTATATATTATTTTCAAACATTTAGCTATTAATAATATGCATGACATCACTTCCTAGTATTCTTTAATTATTTATTTGTTAGTAGTGGAATTAATTAAAAATGTTGAGTCATAGCAAAATTCACTCAAACACTTCTCATTATTAGCTTTAATTAACTTTGTTTATAATCTCACTTGACATTTTTCATTTCTAAAAACATGCAGGAGTTACTACAGGTGCACCAATCCCAGATGTAATGCAAAAAGGCAAGTAGAGAGATCAACTGAAGATCCAGACATGCTCATAATTACATATGAAGGACTTCACCTTCACTACACTTACTCCCACTTTCTCCATTCCCAAGCCCATGATTTGTCTATAACAAAGAAACCCAAGACAAACTCCGTAGATGTGCAGCCTCGTCTCTTTGATCAAGACCAACACCTACAAACAATTGTTCTTCAGGAGCCACTGATAATTGGCCGGGATGGACAGCAAGATAATAACCTTGTGGAAGTTGAAGGGTTTGGAAAATCAGCCATGGGAGATGAAATCATGCAAGAAGAGACTCTTTATAATAATAATAAGAATAATCGTCATTGTTCACAAGGTCTGTTGGAAGATATTGTGCCTTTGATGGTGAGAAAGCCTAGCAGCCCAACAACATCTTCAAATGAGCCTTCCTACCCCTCTCAAGCTTCTTCACCCTCTTATTCTTCCTCTCTATGTTGGACTCCTGAAACTTTTCACTTTGCAGAGAGTGTACTTTCTAGCATTGTGTAAGACAGATTGTTAGAAAATATGACACTGTAAAACTTTGGACTGGTGTACTATTATGAAACATAGTCTTTAATTGAAAAATATTATAATATCCTTTCTACCCAATTCTATTAATGAAAGAGAGTATAATAATATTGCTTGTAGCATTGCATGTATGGGATATTCTAATGTAAATTTGATTAGGATATGCTCTATGATTATCATATTTGTTTTAATGTAATATAAATTTTTGATTGATTAGTCATATATTATTCTCTTCTCAAAATAAATATGATGTTATGTAGCCCATTTTAATATATATATACTTTCAAATATATATATAACCTTGAAAACTTTCCCCTTTGGAAAATCTCAAACCCCAATTTTTTTTACTTTTTTTTTTGAAAAGCTCTATTTGAAACCACATTTCCTGCACCAAAAAAAAAATGCACTTAATCTTCCTCCCGTTAATTCGGTGGGCTTATAGAGTAAATTGATCAACTATGATCAGTCTTCTACTACAACATTGCATATGTCTTTTGAAGCCCACAATCCTCCACAAAGACTCAATTAAAGGTAGATTTAGTATGTTCTAGAAGTTTTTTCGATGTGCTAATGAGACAAACCAAGGTTTATTTTAATCTAGAACTAATGTTTCTAATAAGAGCAAGCACTTGTAATTAATTATATCATGAGTCTATGCATGAAAATACTTTGATAATGTTCACAATTGGACAAGAATTATTCAACAATCAGTAGTGAATAGTAGAATTAAGTAAAATTCTCAATTGAGAAGGTGATAAAAATCAATGAACTAGAAATGTCATTCTATGATATGATCAATGATCAGTCTTTGATGCTTATGAATAAGTGACCGTTATGGAAGGCTAATAAAAAGGCTATTGAAACAATTATAAGAAAAACTTGAAATTTTATGTTTAAAAAACCCCTTCGTTGAAACTAAATTCAGACTGTGTCAAACTATCAAATAGATATACCCTTTTATGTACATCCTATGATATATCATACATACTATGATATAGACGTTTAAAGGTCCAGGCTCTTACTCGATTTCCACATCAATATATATGATACGCCCTTAAAATTTGCCTTGATCAAGCACGAATCTCTTGGCATATTCAAGTTAAAAACTTTCAAAATTAAATTTGGGATCATCTGAATTTCAATTTCAGCAAACTTATAGTCAAATTGAACATCTCAAAGAGACGAACCAAACAACATCAAAATTGGTCCAACCCAAGCCCAAATGGGTCCGAATCGGGGGCCCGGACCACATTTGGAAGGGTTAAAGTATTATTTGGATACTTAAATGATTTCCAAATATGGCATGCTTATAGTCGAATCGAGCGTCTCGGCGAGACGAATCCAACGAGCCCAAGATCTCTGAATTCTGACATTGTTAAGGCACTTAAACAGTTGAAAAACTCTCTACGATCGGGGGAATCAATACGAGCCATCCGATGGAGCACTCTGAACCTGCCCCGGATCTTCTTTAGAATTACAGGGTGTGCCACTCATGAAAATCTATAAATAGACCCCCACTCTCTACATGAGGGGGACCTTTTGCTGGAGATTGAAGAGAGCTCTGAAGCTTCAAGAGCTCTAGCACCACCGCCGCGCCGCCGAGCGCCTTCGTCGGACCACCGCTCGGCCTCCGACCGCTGTCGGACTTTAGCCCAACCTTCGTCGGACAACCGCCCAGCTGCCGACCACCACCGGACCACCGCTCGGTCACCGACAGCCTTCAGACTTCAGCTCAGCCGCCTGCTGCCGCCGAACTTCAGCATGACCTTCGTCGGACCACCGCCTGGACGCCGACCACCGCCGGACTACCGCTCGGCCGCCACCGGACTTCTGCCCGACCTTCATCAGACCACTGCCCGGCCGGTGACCATCGCCTAACCACCGTCCGGCTGCCGACCGCCGTTGGACTTCAGCTCGGCCATCGCCGGGCCACCGCCCGGCTGCCATTCACCATCAGACCTTCATTGAATCGTTCCTTATCAGCCAAACTTTTGTTCAAAACCCGTCGACAACTGATTGTAAATATTTATAT